CTCACTTGCACTGTCCCACTTCGGGTTGGCACTGCGACTACCGCTGCTGCTACTGCTACTGCAGTCACTCGAGTACCGCTCCATCGATTCAAGGCCTCGTTGACATTGTCGTTCACTGCGGACACCACAGCACCACAGCACAGCACTCACCTTGACAATCATGGCCCGAGTGTCGCTCTTTGCCGAGCATGGCGTCAACATTGAGCGTCACGCCTACTGTCTCTGCCTTCACGTCCGCCCTGCCACCATCTTTGTGGCCCTCTGCAATCTGGTAATCCAGTGACTATCCAAGATCAAACTTCCAAACATGAAGATCTAATGATCTAACCCCCTCCCCCTTTCCTCCAGGTTGGCTCGCTGATCTGCGCCGCCTTTACGCTCTACCTGATGGCGTCCAACTCCGCCGATGCGGGTGGCCAACGATCGGCCAACTTCCTCGCCTCCCGTCTGGCCCGCGACGAGCTGAACCGCGTGACGGGCATCAGTCTGCTGATGTACCTGCTGATGAGCCTGGTCAGCTCGATGCTCCTCTACGGCGTCCTCAAGTCGAAGCCCAGCTACATTCTGCCCTTCTTCGGCATTCAGTTCATCGACTACCTCTTCACGATGCCCCAGTTCCTCGCCTCCATCTACACGCATCCCTATCACACCTACTACGTGAACAAGGCCACCGTCGCCAAGGATCTGGCGGGCGGTGATCTGCGTGAGGTGTGGACGCCCAGCAGCATTGACAGCAGCAGCACCAGCTGGAACGAGGTGGGCCACTTCAACGGCGGTGGCTTGCGAATGAACACCGGCTCCGACTCTGCCCAGCTGTACACCACCTCGGTGCTCTTCATGACACTGCAGCTGATCGTCAAGACGTACTTCCTGTGTCTGGTGTGGAAGTGCTACCGATACCTGCACATGCAGCAGTTCATCCTCCCACTCACCCTCAGTGGCCACCTGATGGGGGCAGAGGTAAGTGCCTAAAAAGTGTGACACCAAAACAAATGCTCTAACTTCTCTTTGATTTAGGCAATGATGACGCCCGTGGTGATCAATCGTCAGCAGCAGCAGCAGCAGGGTGGCAATCTGCCGCCGCCCAACTACGACGAGGCGACGATGATGCCCGACTACAAGCCACCCGAGTACCGGACGGTCATCGAGGCCGACGCTGCTCAGGTCAGTGCTGCACCGGGCAACTCCACAGCAAATCCTCCTTCCCTTCCTCCTCCTTCTCCTCCTGCGGACACAACAGCAGCCGCTCCAGCCATTCAGGCAGTTTGATAATGGAAAGCAGTGTCCATAAAATCTAGTCCTCGGCGTTCAGTCCACCACCACCAGCACACACACCAGCACACGTANGGCAATCTGCCGCCGCCCAACTACGACGAGGCGACGATGATGCCCGACTACAAGCCACCCGAGTACCGGACGGTCATCGAGGCCGACGCTGCTCAGGTCAGTGCTGCACCGGGCAACTCCACAGCAAATCCTCCTTCCCTTCCTCCTCCTTCTCCTCCTGCGGACACAACAGCAGCCGCTCCAGCCATTCAGGCAGTTTGATAATGGAAAGCAGTGTCCAGTAAAATCTAGTCCTCGGCGTTCAGTCCACTGACCACTCCACCACCACCAGCACACACACCAGCACACGTACACGAAAGCACTGTTTCCTTTCACTTCTGCATAATAAATGTTTATCGATCCGAAGAATTCTTTACGGGGGAGGGAGCTTCTTTATTCAGATTTGGATGGTAGAATAAATAGAAAAGAAGAAGAGGGCAATGAGTGGAGAAACAAAAAAAGGAAGGTAAAAGGTACATTCGAAAAAGGAGAGCGACTACAATGGACTTGAAGTAGAGGAAGAGGAAAAAGTTGCCTGGAGGAGTGAATAATGATGAACTGAAAAAGGTGTGTGTGTGTGTGTGTGTGTTCGTGAGTGCTGCAGACGTACAAAAGAGAGAGAAAGAGAGAGAGAGAGAGTGCGCTTAGAAANGAAAAAGGTGTGTGTGTGTGTGTGTGTGTGTTCGTGAGTGCTGCAGACGTACAAAAGAGAGAGAAAGAGAAAGAGAGTGCGCTTAGAGAAAAGGACAAGGTGTGATGATCGAAAAATAGGCAATCGAAAAGGAGAGACGTAGAAAAGAAGGAGATGAGAGGCTATAATACAGGGGAAGACATCATTGGCAAGTGCTCGTCGTCATCGGCATCATCATCATCGTTCAGTAGGCCATGGAGGCCTCCTTGTACTCGCTGCCCTCCAGCGTGAAAAAGTCCTCCAGCTTCCACTGGAGCGTCTCAAAGGTGGGCCGTTTGAGGGGGTCCTTGTTCCAGCACTCCAGCATTATGTCGTACAGCGTGGGTGGACATCCTGCAGCAGTGAACAAAAGGCAAATCATTAGCACCAGATCATCAACAACACTACCACCACCACCACCACCACCACAACTTACCGGTGGGACAGGGCATTCGGTAGCCGTGGTCGACCTGAATGAGCACCTCGGCATTGGTCATGCCCGGGTAGGGAATGCGCCCGTAGGTGACCAGCTCGGTGAGGAGAATGCCGAAGCTCCACACGTCCGACTTGATGCTGAACTTGCTGTAGTTGGCCGCCTCCGGGGCGGTCCACTTGATGGGAAAGCGGGCGCCGACGCGGGCCTCGTACTCGTCCTCCTTGATCAGCCGCGCCAGGCCAAAGTCGGCAATCTTCACGATGTTGTTCTCCCCCACCAGGATGTTCCGCGCAGCCAGGTCGCGGTGAATGTAGTTCTGCGACTCGAGGTAGGCCATGCCGGCGGCAATCTGCGCCGCCATGTCAATTAGCTGGTTCAGTTTCATGTTCCTGCCCTTGCCCTGCAGGTACTCCAGCAGACTGCCGTTCTTCATCAGCTCGGTGATGATGTAGATGGGCTCCTCCATGGTGCAGACGGCGTACAGCTGCACCAGCTTCGGGTGCCTCAGCTTCTTCATGATCTGCGCCTCGGTGAGGAAGTCCTTGGGGTCCATGGTGCCCGGCTTCAGCGTCTTGATCGCCACCGGGGTGGTGTTGTTCCACAGGCCCTCCCACACCTCGCCGAACTGCCCCTGGCCCAGCTTGCGGACAAACTTAAGTGAGTTCCGGTCAATCTCCCACTGGTCGCGGGTGTTGTGCGAGAGGCCACTGGTCTGCGGCTTCTCGATCTGCACGCAGGGCTTGCGCAGGTTGACGCAGAGGCCGTCGGCGTCCTTGCTGTAGTGCTCCACCAGCTCCTGGAGGGTGCGAAAGGGCGTCCGCCGGGCGATGAAGAAGCCGCCCTCGTCGAGCTGTCGGATGCGGTAGTGCTTCACCGTGTCCACGTCGCGCACCGAAAGGGAGTAGTCATTGCGGCGGGACTCACTGTCGCGAATGAGAAAGGCGCCGTGGTCGTTCTCCGGCAGCTGCAGCTTCTTCTCCGCCTCGATGCGCTTTATCTTTCCGAAGTACCATCTGAAAAAGGGGGGAAATGAGAAAAAACATTGATGGTTAGAAAGTGAAATCAAAGTGGAAAGGGAAAAGCGAAACAGTGGATAGCTGCTACTACTGCAGAAGCAAAGTCTAGTGCCTAAGTCATTCATTNAAGGGAGTAGTCATTGCGGCGGGACTCACTGTCGCGAATGAGAAAGGCGCCGTGGTCGTTCTCCGGCAGCTGCAGCTTCTTCTCCGCCTCGATGCGCTTTATCTTTCCGAAGTACCATCTGAAAAAGGGGGGAAATGAGAAAAAACATTGATGGTTAGAAAGTGAAATCAAAGTGGAAAGGGAAAAGCGAAACAGTGGATAGCTGCTACTACTGCAGAAGCAAAGTCTAGTGCCTAAGTCATTCATTCATACAGGTAATTCTCGAGTGGAACGGACGATGAGCTCGGCGAGAGATGCGCCGAGTTTCGCTTGGTGAGCACGACATCGAAATTGCGAATCCAACTAGCAGTGTTAGCAGTGTTGGTAGCGGTAGCGAAGGTGTTAGTAGTAGTAGCATGAAGAGTGTTAGAGTGAGTAGTGATAGAGGAGGAATGATTAGCAGAAGAGAAGGAGGAGGAATGAGCAGAGTAGGAGGAAGAAGAGGAAGAGGCAGCAGAAGAATGAGCCGCAGAGGAGGCGGAAGCACAGAAAGGAGAGGCAAAAAAGTTTGGATTAGTAGTATTCAGAGTGGAGCAGGGGGAGGAGGACTGAATGGAGGAGGCAGCTCGGTGATGTGCCCCCGGCTGAAGCCAGATCAGCGAACAGGAGTGGCGACGAGTGGTGGGCGAGGGGGCAGCTACGGCTAGGGAGCAGCACTGAGAACAGGAGGTGCCATTATCACTGGGGACACTACACTGACGACTGAGCAGACTGCGCTGAGACTGTGGCTGAGACTGCGGCTGAACAGGTAATGGATAGCCGTAGAAGACGGTGGGGAGGAGGGGCACTCGGCGGTACGAAAGTGTGCCCCCAGTTTGCTGCTGCTGCTGGTGCTGCTGGTGTTTGCTGGTGGATCGACCCCGAGCAGTGCTGGCTCGAGTGAGGCTGCTAAAGTGGGCAGCCACGGTGGGCGACAGAGTGAAGAGAGTCGCCTCGTGCACCTGCATCATCACAGCAGCAGCAAATGAAGATCAGTGTGTGAGTGAATCAAATGGTATCGGCTGCTGCTGCTGCTCGATTACCATCAACTCCAGCACCACGGGCACCCATCATTATCACCATCATCATCAAAATGATGACAGAGGCCTGAGCCTCGGGCAGCCACACACACACAGGAGTACACAATGAAGAGAAACACACAACTGAAAAGATAGAGATAAAGTTCATTCACAGACAGACACAAACACACTACTACTACTGACGAGGAATGAACGAATGAACGAAGAGAGCAGTTCACAATTCAGTCGTAGCACAGATTGAGCCAGACACAAAGAGGTGAACGGGAGCAGGGAAGGGAAGGAAAAAAGAGAGAGATTTAAAGAGACTTTGGCAAGTGCTACTCTGCTGATCGATCCAAGTGTAAAGTCCTCTCCCTCTCTCTCTCATCCTGCCAATTGGCCCACCACCACCTCAGACCAAGTGAGTGAGTGACACCAGTAGTGCGAGTGCGACACAAGTGGAGCAGTAACTTGAAGTGAGCCACGAGCCAGCAGCAGCAGCAGACACGGACCGATGATCATCATCATCATCAGCTCGAGGAGCTCACTGAAGGAGCTCTGCTTTGTCAGTAGTAGCTCTTGCTGCACAGGTGTATTTAGCAGTGAAAATAGCTAACTGTACTCGTTTGTGTCTGGTGGTGGTGGTGGTGGCGGTGTCATGCATCGGTAGACAGAGCAGTCTACTTTCAATCCTAATGACTCCTCTCCCCTAATTGGCCCCACTCATCGGCAGCACTTTCTCAAACGCTGCTGACCACCACAAGTGCTGGTGCACGAACTGCTGTGCATCACACTCCTCTCAATAGTGGCAAACATAGATTAGCAGCAGCAGCAGCAGTATCAACATATCAACAACTGAGCCGTTGTTGCCACGAGCCGCTGAAAGAAGGCAATAGAATAGCACATCAGCTACACAGGGCTACACACTGAGGCACACAAACGCTGGCCACACGATCGCGTTACCACTCTTGTCGAGAAGGAGAAGGAGAAGGAAAATAGATCTGCGCTGCGCTGACTGACTGACTGACTATGGTTTCTCGAAACAGGCAGTGTAGTGTAGGTAGTGTACTTACGGCTCAGCTTCGATGGACTTGAGCTTGGCGACGTAATTTGAGGGAATGTAGCCCTGGTGCTTGGTGGCCCTCGACATGGCCAGCCACCAGTCGCCCTGGGTGTCGTTGATGATCTCCAGGTGCTCGCCCTTCTTGAAGCTGAGGTCCTCGTCGGTGCGCGCGTCGTAGTCGTACAGCGCCACGAAGATCTTCGTGTTGGCGCCCAGGCCGCCGCCGCCACCGACGCCGATGTGACCGCTGCCCGAGGAGTTCTGTCCGCCGCCCATCATTCCGCCGGCAGAGTGCAGACCGCCGTCACCGGCCATTCCGCCGCCGCCTCCTCCTCCGCCGGCGTCATTCACTGAAGGCAGCATCGGCAGGGCGCCAGAGAGGTTCACTGAGTTGGGGCCACCGCCACCGCCGCCGCCGTTGAGGCCGCTCAGGTCGTGGCCAACGTTGAATCCGGTGGCCTGTCCGTGGCCGCTGACCGGGCCCGACATCACCGGACCAGCATTGAGTGAGGGCTGGCGGAGAATGTCGGCGCCGGGGTAGCCATTGGAAACGCCGCCACCGCCGCCGCCACCGCCCCCTCCTCCTCCTGAGGACGCCTTTGGGTCCTTGATGCAGCAGTTGCCCATGACTGGCTGGCTTACTGGTCGAAGATGTGTCTGTGAGCTGTTGTTGTTGTTGTTGTGGATAGTGATGTTGAGTAGAGCAGTGGTGCCTAGATGATGACCACCATGGGGTGATGGTGATGAGTGGCTGTCGGGGACTGAGGGAGCTGCTGTTCGCTGGGCAGTAGTGGTGGTGGTGGTGATAAAGGTGGGACCATGGTACTGAGGGCGATCCAAAGGATAATCAGCTGGGGGATATCTGTGGGGCCAGCAGGTGTGAAGATGTCCTCGTCGTCATCGGACTGACTCACACTGAGGCACTCACTACGATGGGCTAGAGCTGCTGCTGCTGCTGTTGTGAAGGTGCAGCAGCAGGGCCCAGGGGAGCAATGAGGACAGGAAAAGGGGGTGGTGACGGTGATGATGATGTGGAGGACGGCTGCTGGTGAAGGGAGCACTACCCTTCTCTGCTGTCCACCACCGGCGCAGCCTGATCACTGCTGCTGCTGCTGCTAATGCTGTGCTGTAGTAGTCTTGGGAGCAGTCGGGCAGTTCCGCGTTCCAAATGGAATTCACTTCAAAAGGGAGAGACCAGACGGGCAGAGAAGCTGAGTCAGCGTAGAGTAGAGTAGAGAGAGAGGGTCCGTTGTTGTTGGGAGCTGCTGCTGCTGGTGATGGTGCTGGTTGTGCTATATAGCCGGTGCTAGATTGGCGAGCTGGGCGCCCAGAGAGTCATCGGAGTTGGGCGGTCTTGGGTCATGCCAGTGCTGGTCTCCCAGTCCTCTCCAGTATGTCTGTCTTCTTCTTCAGTGAGTGAGCAGTGTTGACGGCAGTGCCGAGCAACGAGAAAGCAGTGGGGCAGTGGCAGAGAGTGCAGTTGAATGGCAGTGGGAATGCACTGGCAATGCTGTGTATCCACTGGGAATGCAGTAAGACAGTGGGAACAGTGGACACTGTGGCTGCAGCCGCCACTGCCAGGCCAGGAAGAGTCGGCCGCCGAGCACTGTCAGAATAGTCGGTTAGTCTCCCTGTTCATTGCACTCAGACTGGCAGACACTGTGCCCAGCGATGGCATTGCACTTCCATGCACCACTGACCAGTGCTGATGGTGGTGGTGGTGGTGGACACTCTTCCCACAATACACTCTTCACACTTCCGCAGCACTGGCAGTGTGCAGTGGGATCACTTTCTTGATGAGGAGCACCACACAGAATGACCCTCATCTTTGGATATTTGGGGATAGTGGATCTTATTTGCGAGTTCATTCAAATGGTAGTGATAGTATGTACAGTTTGAAGTATGTGGCAAGTGTTCACAGCGTAATGTCCAGTTTGGCCTTGTGGACAATGGCCTGAAGGGACTTGAGCGTCGCCTGCTCCGGGTCCTGTTCGTCCTTCCAGATGCTGATCAGGTGTCGCATTCGCGGCTTCAGCTCACCGAAGCTCTCCTTGATGTACTCAATCTCGTCATCCTGCAATAGAGAGAAAGGGTGTCAGTCATCTTTTAAACAAACAATCAATGCACTTCTTACCTGGTAGCCAAAGAAGGGCGACACTGCGTCCCAGTGCTCCGCCAGCT